TTGGGAATCCCCCAAACTTAGACCAAATACCCGGCAGTTTCCCTGATGACGATGATTGAATCTTTAAGATATTCATGAGATCCGCACCGATTGTACTTCAGTATGACTGATTTTATTTGTAGTTGCTGACCCGAGTCTTGACCCCACGCAGGCTATATATACCTACCAGTTCTAGCTTCCTGTTGTCTTGTTGTTAGATCAAGGTCCGAGCATGGTCTATCTGGTTTGGTTTCTCATATGTGACCCACTAGTTTGTTGCGGCTTGAAAAGCGGTGCTTTTGCGAGGGTTCCAAAAATTCCTTGGATGTTTGCCGTTCTGAATTGGCAATCCCATCATCAATTGGGTCACTCATGAATGAAAGAAACAGGGACATGGAATGAACCCAAAGTCAAGCAAAACAACATTAAACGTTGGGTCTGTCCTATTGCCTGTAACAGTCAGTAAGCAATTATTGCTATTTTTGAACAAGGCCTTTACTAACCATCATCATGCACTGGCAACCAGGTATTAGGATAGACATACATTAAACACATGTCGACGCACTTACGACTGGCCGAGTTTTCTCGCGTTGCCGCGTGTCCTGGCCTATGCTTTGGACGCACTCCGTTGTCTTGCCTTGGGGAGGCCTTGCCTTCCAGGGCACTTGTGGAGTGCTCCGGCACTCAGAGCTGCAGTGACCGGTGGAATTCGTCGGAAGACCTCGTCGTCACCGAGGAATCTGTCAGATTGAGGTCGTCACCTGACGTGACCGGTGGGTTCAGGATGTTTTAGGGAGTCGAATTATCCATGATTATCAACGCACCTTCTGAAGATCTATACAATGAATAGTCATTGTTATCTCTTTAATTAAGAGATTAATTACACGACTCATGACTAGGTTGTCCATCATCTGGTGACGAGAGTTGACGACATTTGCTGGATCTGTGCAGCATCAGGGCGGGTCAAAACCCAAGCACGACACAACCGCGGCCTGGACATGTTTGAAAGCTGGATTTGAGATTCTGGCTGTTTGTATAAGTGATTGTTTGGTTGAAGTAGCGATGTTGAACTGGGCACGCCCGGGTTTTGACCACCCAATTCTCTTGCAAGTTTTGCGTCTCGGGGCCTCCAGCAAGTTTGCGGTTCAAGTGTGGTCAGTGGTTTCTTTCGTTTAAGATCGAGGAAATGAGGCAGAGTTGCTTGTACTCCCCTGCTTTGTTGTGATCGGTTGTGATACTTGTATATATGATTTTATCATATTTTATCTAGGTTCAGCTTTTTTATCGAATCATAGAATCTACAATTAGAATGGTGTGGCAGGAATCTCACTCAATCGGTTACAAGCGTCCAATCGAAGAACTGCCTAAGTGTCCAAACGGGATGAAGAGCAGATGAGATCCAGATGGGATGAGGGCTCTGTCAGAGTGATTCAGACCAGGTGAATTGTGGATCTTGGCGGTTCCGTCAGAGTGTATTCTTTCCCCCGGGAGACGCTGAAGCGTGATCCTTTTTTGTGCCTTGACATTGACTAGATTTGTTGTGTTATTTTTGTCTTACCCAGCATCATCATCTTGCCTACCTACCTCAACCGATAGAGATTGGAGGCATCCGGATATATCCGGATTGCTGAGGCCTCACAAATCTTTGGTTTTATAGATAGGCAAAGACCCTTCGCCATGAGAACGGAGAAACAGGAATCCATGGTGTCAGAAAGAGCGGCCAGGTTGGGGTACTTCTTGGACTTAAGACCTCCCAATCATGGACCTCATTTCCCTTCGAGAGTCTGGAAGGATGCTATGAAAAGGGTTGTTTTGGAGCAGGAGCTGTTCTCCTGGCTCCTGAAAATCCCTGGTTGACAGTCCGTGGTGAATGAGGAAGTTGAGGCCTGTGGTGCTAGGACCATTTTGTTCAACCCGGTGTAGCTTGATTAGCAGAGACTTTACCTTGATAGATGCACCTGACCTGCGCTTCTGGCACATGGTCATTCTGATGGCGACAGAGTCTTTCAAACTTGCAGGAATCAGTGCATTCGCTGCACCTGCAATTTAATGGTGTGAGTGCAACTGGTGCAACGCAGGCTTAAGAAGACATGCTGCGTTTGTACGCTATGGTGGGCGGTTCACGTGGAAGCTTGCCTTCAGCACCAGAAGAACATGATCATAGCCAGAGCGATTGACGACTCTAGCATGTAAAATTTTGGCTGGTGTTAGGAAGCACTGAGTGTCTCGACTCATGTTCATACACATGCAAACTACGGTGGCATTTGGGATACTTTGGTCTGGCAGGTTTACAGCTAGTTTTGGCAGCAGCAAATTGAAGAGGCTACGGGTGTTCCCGTCTCGTCTTCGCGCTGGAGAGTGAGTGTGGGCCCGAACCCCTGCTATGGAGGGTCCGACCCCTGCCATGGAGAGCCCAAGGATTCTTAGGGATGAACAATTATTCTGACCTATGGTGCTAGATGGCATGATTTATATCCACTTGCAAGTGTGACCACCATTGTCACCATGGATTAACTGATGAGTGCCTGAGCTATTTTCCTTGTGCAAGCCCGAAGTATAAACGCATCATTTGGGCACTTTTATTTAGGCAAGAAGTCTCTAGTTGCTTGAGTGTCTTTGTCAGACATGATATGTTGATGAGAGAAAGGAAGCATCAAAGAGAATTACAATTGTCAGGAGCAACTGTGTGTAACACCCTTTTGTCAGCTGTTTCTCCAAAGCCATTGCCATGGCGGATGAGGTGCCAGGGGCGGAAGAGTGGCAGAAGGCACAGAAACGACATATTTTGGCCTGAACATCAAATCCATGATAACCCCTGCTATTTTCTCAAACATATGTCATGGTCCTGTTGTCCTGCGGCTGGTCTGATGTGGTCTCGGACATCTAACTCTTCCACTTCTTCGATCATCGATGGATCGATGGTATGGGCCAGCATACCACTTCATCAAGAGTTCCTTTTATGGCATGCAAGACGACTGTATCTTGGATGTGCCATCCTGGACATAACAGCTATTGCCATTGCTCGCATGTCACATGTTGTCAGTGGCAGTCATCCTTCCTCTGAAAGATGGTCCGAGCCAGCACGTCCCAGCTGACTCTTTTTTGTTGGCAGTCATCGGGAAGCAGAGATCTTCTGCAGCAAAAGTGCTTCCGGAGTCCAATGCGGATTTCATTGTAAAGAACCTCAACCGCCTCAACCCCACAAATTTGGATATAATCAACAATACATCCAGCAAAATCCCTCTGGAATGGAAACTATAGGCTGCAAAGCAGGCACCAAAACCGCCCTGTTTTGGCCTCGGGCGGGTGTGACAGCACAGATCGGGTTCACCAGTCTGCTGGCGCTGTTGTGGCGTGATTTGGACCGCAGAGGTCTATGTGCCAGCGCACCTGCGGCCTCCGGCCGGGAAGACCATCATGCAAAGGCGGGAGGATTTGAGCGAGAGGATGTTCGTGACCCGCATGTGGGTGGGTGACCATGGGTTTGCTGGTCCTGGTGGGTGGGCGAGGAAGACACAGGTGTCAAAAAAGCAACGTTTCAGGGCCCCTCAGGGTCTTCAGGTTTCGGCCCCAGCTTCATCATCCTTCTCGTCCAACTTCTCAGATCTTCAGAAGAAATCCATGTGTTCCCTCTCTGTCACCTGCTCTGGATGCGGGTAGTGCTATGTCTTTGGTCCGACCGTGGGGTCCGGTGGTCCTTCCCGCTCTCGATCGACTGGCAGGTCATCCTCAGACCCAAAAGGATTGCTGAGGTGCGGCCACACCGAGTGAGTGGCGGTCGCCCGAAGGCCACCTGCGGAGTCAGAGTGGTGCGACCTCCAAGACACACACACCAGACTGGGCAAAAGAGAAAGAAGAAACAAACACGAGAGACTTCAGGGTTTTGATGAGCAATATCGAGCAATCGTGTTTTTTGTATGGTATTCAGTTATTCATTCTTGACTAAAACAGTGTCTAATTACGGCATGCTCTAATGTGTTTGTCCAACATTGGTATTCGCTGGTGAACGAGACAGGGCCCCCACGCAAATGAGATACCTTTATGGATGACAAGAGTAGTCTGAACGAGATAGTGTGATTTTCTACTAAAGTAGTCTGAACCATTCTGAACCTGAACCAGATACTGTGACATTACCTCCTACTTAGGTAGTCCAAACAAGACAGGTCCACCACATAATAGATAGTGTATTTGGTTTAGAAATAAATATATGCCGTGCCGCCGCTCATATATCCGTACATTAGCTGGTTTTATGGGTCAATGTAGTAGTATGCAGTAGTCATAGATTTCACAATTACTTGAAACGTTTGGGAGCTAGTTGTTGTTGTGGTCAAACTTTCTGTTTGTGCATGATCCAGGATTTTCACTGGAGACTGAGAGGAGCAAATGAGTTTGTAAAGGAAAGACTAGCCATCCCAGGCCATCCATGGCCAGTATGTTATTTGTTTCCTGTTTGTGATGTTGGTTGCACCTGTTTGCACCATAGACCTGACCCACGAAACGAACACAGTGGACCTACACAGTTCCATCGCAGTTCCACCATTTTCGCTTGACAGGACCACCTGCGGCCGGGGAACCTAAGCCAGTGCCATGGAGCCTTCATGGAGTCTTTGGGACTGGGTGATGGATGTTCTTCTGCGGAGGACATGGGGTTCTTCGAAAACCCACGGAATCGCTATGAATTGCTTGTGACACACGTTTGAGAATGTTTGAATCGAGAGCCCACCATAGCCCACCCAGACAAAAAGAAATGAGGGACTCCCTCTTCACCAGTCTCAAAAGGGTGCCACAAAAATCCCGCCAGCTCGTTGAACAATCGGGTCTTCAACGCAGTTGTTGTGCTCAAACACTGGCAATGCGCAGAGAAATTGGCTGTGCCGAGAGCATTGTGGCAAATTTCTCTGAAATGAAGAGCATGTGCCGAGTGTACCGGAAAGCAGAATCTGGGAAACAATGTTGTTTCTTCTTGACCTGCACGGTTATATTATATGTAGTGCTCCGATGTTCATATACACCATTGAACTGTGCAGTCAACATTTGCCCCAATTGGCCTGACAGAGCCATGGCTCAGACAGAGCTCTTGTTTGCTTTGCTGACCACCGGCGAATGCTGCGAAGCCAACGACTGGATCAAGGCTTTGAAGAGGCTCCATCCGGAACGCATCGATTGGAGCAGCCGGAACGACGACGGCCTCACCATCCTTGTCCAGTGCGTGATTGTCCTGCTCAGAAACTCTTCCTGTGAACAAGAGATGCTGAACATGATTGAACATTTTATTAGCTATGGGGCAAGCATTACGCAGAAGTGTACAGCAGAGGCAAGTGCTACATTTGTTTTTTATAAAGATTCCGATGGAGACGAGCTGCTCGTGAAACCCTCCGGTCTCTCAGCCATATCGTACGTTCAGGCTTGGGCGCGAGAGTTTGATGTCGACACAAGATTTTCCGATGAATCCAAACGACTGGCAAAGGCCCTCAACTGTTTCGCAGGGGCCGAGACGCAACATGTCCGAGTCCCAGTGTACGAGGGCATCATCGAGCTTTGGGAAAAGTTTTTGACCGCCGAATCTGCGCACGACTTGACCATCGAAGCAGCTGATGGGCTCGTGACAGCTCATGCTCAGATGCTCAAAGAAGCATCTGCTGTGGTTACTGCGATGTTGGCCTCACCAATGAAAGAGGGGCAATTGCAACGGATCCAGGTGAAAGATGTTGCGAAGAGGGAGGTGTCGCTCTTCCTAGAGATGCCCAGCTGCAGTGCTGTCGCTCCGGTAAATATCGATTCATCACGGAAGGCTCCCATATGAGCAACCGCTTTTATTTAGGCTTTCTAAAGTAGTGTACGGCATGCTCTATTTGCTTGTCTATCGTCAGTATTCGCTTGTGAACGAGATAAGGCCCCCACATAAACGCGATATTTTTTCTTGATGACACTAAAGTAGTCTGAACGAGATAGTATGAGATAGTGTGATCTGCTACTAAATTTGTTTGAACGAGGTACTGTGACATGACCTCCTACTGAAGCAGTCTAAACGACATAGGGCCCTCACATTATAGTGTGTATTTGAGTTTAGTACCAAAGAAATGCTTGGAGATGTTTGGAATACCTAGCTGTTTGGTGGAGATGTTTGATGATTTTTTTCCTTGTGGTTGTGAAGTTAAAGGGAGAAGACGTACATGATCAATGATCCGATGAACAAGAGAGAGAGAGAGAGAGAGGAAAAATATCGAAGGTGAAAAGACTCAGCGAGAGAGGAAGGGAGGCAGGGGAGGCCGGCTTATCAAGTTTTGTACTTCAGACTTCAGAAGGCATAAATGCTTGGGGTTCAGAACCATAGCGGATCGGATTTGTGTCAACATTTTTCGGCTGGTATAGCATGCTCAGATTTCCACACCTGTTTAAACTTACGCCACTCATAAGGCTCTCACATGTAGAACTACCGCAAGATGTCACACACACACACGTGATAACACGTAGTGAATGGGGACAGGGTTAAGAGGCGTACGTAGTTAGCTTTCCGCATGCCAGTGTATTTGTGTTTGAAGCTGAACTTTTCGCCCCGCTTCTCCAGGATTTTGTACACCTGCTCCACGCACAACGAGCCTGACTACAAGACCGCTTTGCAGGCGCTGGATTTGGCTCATCGTTGGCAGGTGGATGTCGTGGTCATGGTCCTCGCAAATCTGCTTCAAGGCCCGGCAGAGGATGACCGAGCCTGGGTGGTTTCCCCAAACAGAGGTCGTCACGAGTTTATCATAGCTTACAAGGTTATTCGACATTATGGCATAATGTACTGGTGCTTCAAGAAGTAGCTTGTGGATGCAGTTGGTTGTTTGCCTCCCTGGTGCATTCTGTTCTGATCGAATCTATATTCGTTTGGTCTCGGGAGTTGTGCCACCAAATTGACTCCTTTCAATATTGAATTGAATGCTTGCTCAACGGTTTTCAAATGAGTTTTTGTTTGTCCGAACAAGGTATGATCACAGACGAAAACTTTTCAGAGATAGCGGAGCACGCAGTCTTGAAGGCGGGGTGTCGGATGGGCCTTGTGGCAGTGGTGCTGTTCAACTGTGCCTCGGGGGTCATACTGCAGAGGAATGACTGTTGATTCACTGTTTAAGCCGCGGCGGCAGCGCCGTTCAGAGAAACCGGGTTTCCCTAGATAATCATTGGTTTGGCACTGGCACCTGTTCCTTACTAAGCTGGTTTGACTTTCCGGTGCTGAAGTCATTCCCGCCCTAGAAGTCTGGCCACGTGATTGTTTTGTTTTCAGATTCAACATGATTCAACAATGGAAGCCCGTGGACGAAGAAACCAACCCCTGTGTCTTAACATGATCATTGGTCTTTGGACTCTGTCAGGGCCCCAGAGTCCTCGGAGAGAAATAGAAGCAAACCAACCACTTTCTGCCACTTTCTTCTATGGAACTTTCTAAGGCCTACTTGTAGCGAAAGCGCACTGGATATTTGTCAAATCATACAATCCTCCTGCTGAGTCTTCCGTGCAAGAGAAAACACACCAATCCAAAACTGAGCCAACCATTGCTAAACAAACAACAAAAAGACCTGATCAAAGCATACCCCAAGAAACCCCATGCATGTTATATCATATCGGGTCACTCAGGTAGGGCAGTCTGTGAAGTTCACTTCACACCGCACGTTCACAGGACGTGGAGGGCCTAAAGACAGCAATTCAGAGACACGCAGCTGAATCTCCCGCTGTGAAGGCGAGCGAAATCAGGGGCGCATGCCGTAGCGAAAATGGGACGACACGCCATGGTCCTGTGCTAAACCAAGATGCATGGCCAGGTAACATGGTTAGGACCCGTCAGGAAGAGTAGTTTCCTCGAAACTGGAGGTGGTTTGATGGTGCTTTTGGAGTTTTGGGGGTACTGTGTACCCTTGATCTGATCGTCAGAATAGTGGAGCATGGCCGTGAAAAGAAAACGGTGTTCTGCAAAGTTGTCCACTTCCGTGTTGGTTGCATATAGAGGGTACATGAGAGGATTGTTTTGAAGTTCAATTGATTTCAGACATCAACATATTTTTGGTTAAAAGGACACACTGGTTATTGGGTGTTATAATAGATTGGTGAAGTATATTGAAGCATACAGAGTCGCGTTGGAAGTGATTGTTAAAGTGCGGAACATGGGCAGATTTCACTACCCCTACCCCCTGAATTTGCTGAAATGAGTCAAGTCTATAGTAGGGTGAACGTGCTCAGAACTGGAGTGGACAGATAACTTTGGCCTCCCGTTCAAGAAGCATGAATCATACAACAATGACCGGAATCCCACCAACAGAAGACAAATATGCGAACGTCGATTGAGTGAAACGCTGAAGAACAAGAACTCCCTCAGACAAGCAGAAATCGAGCCGCGGTCGCGATGAATCAGGCTCAACTGAAAGGTGGTCACTTGCCAGCTGCCGTCCAGAAACTTTTCGCGTCCACAGCTTCCGCTACACCTGAGCAGCTTCCGAAACGGCGGAAACGCCTGTGAGGCAGGAAGCGCGATGAGAAAAAACACCTGTCAGATGTTTAGAGGAGTCATCCTGTTGGAGAAAAATAACTGGAGATCCACCCATTTTCCTGAAAATAGTGGGTTGAGAGTAGATGGCCCAAGGTCGGTGGTTTATGTGGACCCCTATATAAAAGACATCTTGGGGTGCCAGTGCCATCTACTCTGAAACCACTATAGAGGGTAGAGCAGTTGCAGATTTCGCACCGCTTGGGAAAGACTTGGAGAACGTGCTTGACGGTCTCGGGTGACTGCTCCGACCTTGCTCTTGCTCTTGGCGACTTCGCAGGTCGACCAAGACGCATGAAGGAGTGTCCTTTTCTTCAACCTCATAGCGATGGCCTCCAACCTATTCCCAGACACTCCATGGGACTGCCATATTTACATACATTGACCCGTCTTCAACCACCCCAACTGATCGGCATAGATGGCAGTCCCATTAGTCGTGTTTGGCATTAGCAATTAACAGAGGAAAGCACGACAGGACACTCGGCATCTTTCGTGACACTCGGTGTCGACGGGTCACCCAACTGACGGGCGGCGCAATCCATTGTGCCGTTTGGATCGCGGAAAAGGTCGTCTCTCCATGGTCTGCGAAGGATCCAGAGTATTGCTCACACTTTTGCACAGCATGTAGGTTGGTTGCAGAGTATCCAGAGTGTGGCTTCTTCAGGGGTTGTCAACACAAACACTCCAAGTCACTAACATGGAGGTGCAAAACCGCCTGTTTTCAGAGAACATGATAATCCAAATAGGCCATCCCCGCGTAACATGATGATTTCAGGGAGTGTATCATGGACGGTGGCGTCTGAGGTCTTTCAATGAGTCCCTTCCTAACCAGCACGGCTCGGATGCCCAGACCGTTGGGACAGGTGCGCACAGATGGCCTGACAAATACAGTGAGGGCGGTAGACGGAGGTCTTACGTGAAGTAGCTACAAAGGGCTCAGGCTTCGCTCAAAGAGCTCCCCTGCCTCAGGGTGGGGAGCTTCCTTGAAGAAGGCCGAGCCCGATCGATTTGATTCTTCGATTTTTGGGGTACGTGTCAACTAGCAAATGATTCGGCAGCCATGCCCTACACTCGGAATCCATATCTTTGAAGTACTTTGATCATAGACCCAAAAGTGGCACGTGCTTGCAAGTAACTCTGTAGTGATCCTGCTGTGCTTCATTCAGAATATAGGAATCTTCCACATGACGCAGCTGCGCTGGACACCTAAACACCACGCAAGGTGCGACAAACTGAGCCAGCAAACTGAGCTCAGACCTCCGCACCAGGGCAATTGATAAACGTGTGCCAACCCCCATGGCACTCACTAGATGAGGAACACGTTTAAAGGCCAATGAACACCCTATACATCCCTATACCTGTCCTTTTTGAGTCGACCCGTGCACGTGCCGAAAAACCAGCCCAAAACAGAAAGACATGCTCCTCTCCCAGGCGGTCCGTGTGGCTCCCACCCGAGCGTTGGAAGAACTGCGGCGGGATCACATCGAGGGGTCGCCCCCCCCCGCGGTCCGCGGGACACGACCATCGAAGCGAGAGTCGGAAGCGAGTGGCTCCAGGCTCCACAGGCTCCAGTGCCAGAGAAGTAGGAAATAATAGAAACACACTCTCTCTCTCCCTCTCTCTCTCTCTCCCTCTCTTTCTCTTGGTTTTCCGAGAATCTCATTTTTCAGGATTCGTTCATCAAGGTTCGAGTGGAAGGATTCAGAAACCCCCAAACGGCGTGAATCCCATGATTGTGCCATGATTTTGCCAGATAGCTGCTTCCTTCTATAGGTAGTTCCCAGGGTTCAAGTGATCGAAGGGGTAGAAGATCCTGAATGGAAGGAATATAGTTCAGGACTCGGTGACTGCGCTGTCCCGTGCATGGAGTAGGTCAATCACTCCCCGTGCTGCTCCGCGCTTCCATGCTGTGGAGCAGACTGTAGACGGACGGCCAAAGCCCCAATAAATCCTCCCCGCGTCTGCGCCTTCTTTTCCCAAATCCCAGCTGACCTACGCTGACACCAACCACTATAGGCCATCCACCAACCACTATAGGCCATCAGTGGCCACACCAAGGAATGACTCCTCCACCAACCACTATAGGCCATCTTTCCTGCCGCTCCCCCAAAGCAGCTGACCCTCTGTCGACTCATGCAGCTCACCCCGCCGGCAGACGCAGCGCACCCTTCGGCTCGCAGGTACCGAGGCTTCATCCCAGGCGTGAAAGCTGAGACGGTGTGGCCGCCCTGGGCGGCTGCTGTAGCGGGAACCGGTGGTGTGTGTGCCGAGACGGCGAATGTGGAAAGGAATGGATTCTGGATCCTTTTTGGCTCCAGCTCCTGCTACTGTTTGCCAGATGTTTTGGTTTCAAGTGTCCTGCAACTCGTATTCCACAGGGTCTTGCCAGATGTGCCACAATGGTCCTGTACATGTCCTTTGCAGGTTCAGCTCAAATTTTAAGGATGTATATACGGTGATGAAGGTAGAACCAAACAAGTCGGACCTTGGATTGTTTTTTTGGGGCGAAGCTTTTATTCTACAAGGTTCAAGCCTGGTTCAAGCTTTCCGAACAAGTGAATCTTCGGGAGTGCAATTGAGTTGCTGATCAAGCTCATCCAGCTTCACCAAGATCCGGGGAACATTTGGTTGATGGCCACGATTCTTGGAGTAGATCCCTAGCGCTCCTGGCCTACCTGCATTTCGGTGAAGGTGGTTGGGGTGGGGAATTCCAACCCTACCTTTTAAGGATGTGAGCGGGCCAGCTCAAACGGGGATCTTCGAAGGAATCGGCGGGAAGATGATTCTCCGAGTCCATCCCGGGGTCCAGCCCCTCGATTCAATTCATAGATGGCCTTGTACTATTAATTCATATAGACATAGAGGGTATGATGAACATAGGTCTGATAGTGATCCCCAAATAGATAGACGGTGTCCGGTCTCTATTGGGGGACCGGCCTATTCCACGGCCTACCTACCTACCCCATCTATCCGTATCCCGCTTGCGTCGTCGGTCCAGGTCCACGGTGCGCGGTCCAGTGTCATTGACCACATCGCCAGCGACATTCGACCGCTGGAGTTTCGGCCTCCCCAGGCGACGGGAGTGAGCCGACGGCGGGAGCACGAAGCAGTGCAACGGGTAGGTGACCCTGGTGACCCCGGTGAATAGCGTTCGGTGCTGATGCCTACTACGTGATTCCCCTTGGTCAGTTACTATACTCGCCTTTATCCCATGTTTAAACGAGCAGTGTTGCAAGGAATAGTCTCTCCAGTAGTGGCGCCTTGGTTGCAGCTTGTGAAGTATACACTGAAAATCAATCTAGAACCCTCCTGGCCTCCGTAGCGATGAGCTAGGCTTTGATATCCTGCCGAGTTACCACGTGAGCTC